CCCCCTTCCCCTCAGCCGCCCTCATCCAAGATGGCGCTGGCCAGCGTCCTCCGCTCGGAGCTGCCGGAGTTTTCCAAATGTTTCCCGGGATATTCCAAAGGTTTTCCAGAAGATTCCGAAGCTATCCCGGAAATCCTGAGGGATCCTCCCGGTCCTCCGCGGGCTTTGGCGGCTCCGCCGTGCGGGGTTCAGGCGGTGTTGGATGGGCCCGGCTTCGAGATGCTGCACGGAACGACAACTCTGGCCTTTAAGGTGAGGGGGAAAGGCTGAAAAATCGGAGTTTTTGAGGCGAAAATCGGTTTTTTTGAGGCGAAAATCGACTTTGGGACCTAAAAATCCCGTCTGGGCGCCTCAAAATTTGGTTTCCGGACCCCAAAATTGTATTTGGGACCAAAAAATTCCATGCAGGCGCCTCAAAATTCGCTTTTTTGACCCAAAAAATCCCTTTGGGCGCCTCAAAATTGGCTTTTTTTGACCCAAAAAATCCATTTGGGCACCTCAAAATTGGCTTTTTTTGACCCAAAAATCGACTTTGGGACCTAAAAATCCCGTCTGGGCGCCTCAAAATTTCCTTTTTTTGACCCAAAAAATCCCCTTGGGCACCTCAAAATTGGCTTTTTTGACCCAAAAATCGACTTTGGGCGCCTCAAAATTCCCTTTTTTGACCCAAAAATCGACTTTGGGACCTCAAAATCCCTCAAAATTTGATTTTTGGACCCAAAAATTGGGTTTTTCGACCCAAAAATCCCCTTTGGGCACCTCAAAATTCCCTTTTTTGACCCAAAAAATTCTTTTGGGCACCTCAAAATTGGCTTTTTTGACCCAAAAATCGACTTTGGGACCTAAAAATCCCTCAAAATTTGATTTTTGGACCCAAAATTTGGTTTTTTCGACCCAAAAATCCCTTTGGGCACCTCAAAATTGGCTTTTTTGACCCAAAAATCCCTTTGGGCACCTCAAAATTGGCTTTTTTGACACAAAAATCGACTTTGGGACCTAAAAATTCCCTTTTTTGACCCCAAAAATCCCTTTGGGCACCTCAAATTTGCCTTTTTTGACCCAAAAATCGACTTTGGGACCTAAAAATTGGCTTTTTTTGACCCAAAAATCGACTTTGGGACCTAAAAATCCCTCAAAATTTGATTTTTGGACCCAAAAATTTGGGTTTTTCGACCTAAAAATCCCCTTTGGGCACCTCAAAATTCCCTTTTTTGACCCAAAAAATCTCTTTGGGCACCTCAAAATTGGCTTTTTTGACCCAAAAATCCCTTTGGGCACCTCAAAATTGGCTTTTTTGACCCAAAAATCGACTTTGGGACCTAAAAAGCCCTCAAAATTTGATTTTTGGACCCAAAAATTGGGTTTTTCGACCCAAAAATCCCCTTTGGGCACCTCAAAATTTGATTTTTGGACCCAAAAAATCCAGTAAAAAAATGCTGGGAAAATGGGGAAAAAATGGGAAAAATGGGAAAAATTGGGAAAAAATGGGGAAAAATGGGGAAAAATGGGAAAAAATGGGTAAAAAATTGGGAAGAAATGGTAAAAAAGTGGTAAAAAATGGGAAAAAATGGGAAAAATGGGGAAAAATGGGAAAAATGGGGAAAAAATGGGGAAAAATTGGGAAAAAATGAGAAAAAATGGGAAAAAATGAGAAAAAATGGGAAAAAAATGATAAAAAATCCTAGAAAAATGGTAAAAAATGGGAGAAAAAATGGGAAAGAATGGTAAAAATTGGGAAAAAATTGGTAAAAAATCCTAAAAAAAATGGTAAAAAATCCTAGAAAATTTTGAAAAAATCCTAAAATAATGGGAAAAATCCTAAAAAAATGGGAAAAAATGGGGAAAAAATGGGAAAAAATTGGTAAAAAAATCATAAAAAATTAGAAAAAAATGGGAAAAAATGGGGGAAAAATGGGTAAAAAATGATAAAAAATTGGGAAAAAATGGGAAAAAATTAATGAAAAAATCGGGAAAAAATGGTAGAAAAATCGTAAAAAATGAGAAAAAATGGGGAAAAATTGGGAAAAAATGGGGAAAAAATTGGGTAAAAAATGGGTAAAAATTGGTTGAAAAATCATAAAAAATGGGAAAAAATGGGGAAAAAAATGGGAAAAAATCAGGAAAAAATGGGAAAAAAAACTGCTAAAAAATGGGAAAAAATGGGGAAAAAATGGTAAAAAATTAGAAAGAAAATGGTAAAAAATGGTAAAAAAATGGGGAAAAATCCTAAAAAATTGGGAAAAAATCCTAAAAAAATGGGGAAAAAATGGGGAAAAAATTGGAAAAAAATGGTAAAAAATCCTAAAAAATTGGTAAAAAATCCTAAAAAAATGGTAAAAAATCAGAAAAAAATGGTAAAAAATCAGAAAAAAATGGTAAAAAATCAGAAAAAAATGGTAAGAATTGTGATTTTGTTCCTGTTTCCCCAGACCCCCTTCGGGGTGACGGTGGCCGTGGGCTCTGGCGCCACGGCCGCTCGTCCATCGCCTCGCAGTCGGTGCGGAACGCGCCGGGGGAGAATGAAATGGGGAAACTAACGGGGAAAAATGGGGAAAAAATGGGAAAAAATGGGGAAAAATGGGAAAAAAATGGGAAAAAATGGGGAAAAAATGGGAAAAAATGGGAAAAAATTGGGAAAAAATGGGGAAAAAATGAGGAAAAAATCATACAAAAAATGGTATAAAATAGGGGAAAAAATGGGAAAAAATGGGGAAAAAATAGTGAAAAAATGGGAAAAAATGGTAAAAAATTGGGAAAAAATTGGGAAAAAATGGTAAAAAATTGGGAAAAAATCCTAAACAAGTGGTAAAAAAATGGGAAAAAATGGGGAAAAAAGGGGAAAAAAATGGGAAAAAAATGGTAAAAAATCAGAAAAAAATGGTAAAAAATCAGAAAAAAATGGTAAAAAATGGAAAAAAAATGGTAAAAAAATCAGAAAAAAATGGTAAAAAATGGTAAAAAATCAGAAAAAATTGGTAAAAAATCCTAAAAAAATGGTAAAAAATCCTAAAAAAATGGTAAAAAAATGGTAAAAAATCCTAAAAAAATGGTAAAAAATCAGAAAAAATTGGTAAGAATTGTGATTTTGTTCCTGTTTCCCCAGACCCCCTTCGGGGTGACGGTGGCCGTGGACTCGCGCGCCACGGCGGGCTCGTACATCGCCTCGCAGTCGGTGCGGAACGCGCCGGGGGAGAATGAAATGGGGGAAAATAGGGAAAAATGGGGAAAATGGAGAAAAAATGGGGAAAAATGGGGAAAAAATGGGGAAAAATGGGGAAAAAATGGGGGAAAAAATTTGGAAAAAAAGGGAAAAAATGGGAAAAAATATGGAAAAATCAGGAAAAAATGGTAAAAAAATGGGGAAAAAATCCTAAAAAA